TGAGGGTTTTTCGTTCTCAGTGTTGATATTATTCTTATATATAGTTTTTTAAAAACTTATAGAAAGATGAAACTGAGGGCTTTTCAGTATAGTACTTAAGGAAACTGATTTGCAGCCTCATATGTTAAAATAACAGCCTTGAAAATAAGTTTAGGTGGGTGAAGAGGAAGTGAACTTCAGTGTTACCAAGCTTTTGCATGATTGTAATGAAAAGACTTAGCTCTAGATTCCACTCTCAGTTCTATAGTATCAGGACTAACACCACGGCTTGCAGCACGTATAAATACAGATGTACAGTGGTGTAGTTGAGGGCAAAGTTACATAATGGTCAGTGGTTTCATTAAAGTATGGCCTGTGAGATTTAATGCTAGGGTATGATGACATTGTAGCTACTGAGCACTGCCTGCTGATCTTCTCACTTGTGTGATGCTGTTGATTTTGGGGGTTCTTATTCTGGAATTACACCAGTGTAACTCAGGACTGGAATGTCCTACTCTGTTGACCTTGGGCATCTGCTTCAGTCATGTAATGATGCTTGTGCTTACACACCCATTTGTATGTGAGTATATATATATATTCATATTGTTTGGGCACATATGCATGTTTTCGCTAGGTATCTATGTAGATAGAAAATAACATTCATGTCATACTTAATAACATTTTGAGAATTTTAAAGCAGTCATACAGAAAACAGGAAATAACTGGAATGGCAGCTTGACCAGTAACTCTTACTATGGTCCTCAAAAGCCTGTTAATGTGCTAATACTTACACTGATTCTGTAATAATTTCAAGTGGCAATGAATCCTTGAGTGCAATGAGCCCCTGAGTCTTCATTGTGCAGCTTTTAATTGATACTTCTGATTACAGGCTAGTATGGGGGCCCCAGGTTTACCTGGCTCTGCTGGGAAGTTAGGTGCGAGAGGACCAAAGGTAAAGATTTTTAAGGTACCTAACTGCAGCAATCTAACAGCATCATTCATTCAAGAATCTGACTGAAGATGCATGAACTAACACTTGTGTTGTTCCTATGGAACATGTGAAGAATGTTAAGTTTTATAGACATTTTTAGATTGCATGGGAAGGCAAGTGATGTGTTCAAGGTAATCTTACAGGTGTCAGAGCTATGCTAAGAAGTTTTTAGTGTTGCTGTGACTGCTGTTTTAATTGCTGTTGTGGTCATGGTTCTCAGTGGGTCCTGGCTTCTCACAAAATGTAGTAGGGATATGGCACTGCTGACCCTTGAGCTTGTGCTATGATTCCTAGAATCTGTCCAATCCATTAAAAATACATGTACCAGTTAATCATAGAATATCTCAAGTTGGAAGGGACCCACAAGGTTCATCGAGTCCAACTCCCTGCTTCTCGCAGGACTGCCTAAAACTAAACTGTATGACTAAGAGCGTCATCCAGATGCTCCTTGAATTCCGACAGGCTTGGTGCCATGACCACTTCCCTGGGGACCCTGTCCCAGTGACCGACCACCCTCTCAGTGAAGAACCTTTTCCTAATGTCCAGTCTGAACTTCCACATTCAGTGAAGCATAGCTGCTTATTTTAACCTTTTTGTTGTGAAGATTCCTAACCAGTTCAAGGAACCTTGACTGTTATGATGTATATTATACAGGAATGAATGTGTTGAAGAACTGAACCAACATGAAGTTAAACAGAAAGGCTTATACTAATAGGTGGTCCACATTATGGTTCACTTACTTATAATAAATGTTATCCCTTACTTTCCTTTCATTAATGTGCTTTGGTATGGGAGACTTTATTAAATAAAAATATCTCATTTTAGGTGTTGTTGCATCTCTGGATCTAAAAGGCATAAATAATACCAGTTAGCTAAGCCTTTCAGTCTCTTTGAAGGGTTATTACATTCAGTGTGTTATTACATTCAGTGACAGAGAGGTATCAGAAGGTCAAAGTGCTACTATGAGAAGAGTCACTGTGTGAAAATGTACAGTGAAACAGTGACAAAAATTGGGAAGAAACACAGGGATTTAATCCATCATACATTCCATTTTCTCCATCTGGTTTTGTGCTGTTTAATATTGGGATTCTTGTTAGAAGAAAGTTCATTATGAAAGTGAAAATCAAGAAAGGAACTGAAGAAAACTTGCAAGAGGACTAAGAGAACAGTGCAGACAGCCTGCCTGAGAAATACTGTCTGCTATCAACAGATGCTTCAGGCTGGTAGAATTCCAGGCTATGTCCTGCTACCATTCATATAACTTTTTTCCAGAAAACACTCTTTTCACTGGTAATTCTGTATAACAATAGGAGTTTTATTGAATGAAGGTCTTTGGGGTTTAGCTGCATGAATGCTCAGCATATTCTGATTTGCCAAGTACTTTCCATTTCCACCCCAAAGAACCTTCCGTGAAACATGGTCTGTAATGGAATGCTTTCGACCGGCATCAAGTAGTCTATAAAATGTATAAGCACACTTCAGTCTAGCAGAAGAGTTTACATTTCAGAAAGAAGAATTCTCCTGCAAGAGCCAAACTAATACCTTTTATGTTTCAATTATAACAGGGTGAACCTGGTGACCCTGGAGAGAAGGGCCCAGTGGGACCAGCTGGACGGAGAGGCAAGCCTGTGAGTCTTTTTTCCCTAATTCAGGGCCCTTATAGTTTAACACCCATCGTTGTGAATCAGTACAGTTCGTTCCCTTCTATTTTCTCCATTTGATACAATTAAAATTATTTCACACTTGGTTCTCGGTTTCCTTATTGACACCAGATTCCTTGTGGGCTAGAGAGAATATTTTTCCCACCAGGTTCTCTAGGAGAGAGAGAATACACTAGAGGTAGGGCACACAGTGGAGAGGAACTGTGGCCTTAATCCTTGTTTTCTCTCTGCAGATTATGCCACCATTTGCTACTGTTTTTAGACTGTGTTGTGATAGCTTGCCCTACTTCATCAGTCTTAATAGCCTGGGCACCTCACTGTAATGGGAGATCTTTATTGCAAAATGAAATTGGATGTGAATCTAATCCTCTATTAAAAGCTAACTCATGATATATTCAACCTATGCAGGGCATGGATGGCAGAGATGCCTACGGTCCTGAAGGAAGCAAAGGAGCTAAGGTGAGTGCTTAGAGTCAGGATGTCTCACAGTCTTCATTCTGCAGTGTCAAATCAAACATGACCATCCATATTTGATTCAAAAGAAATGTAAGACGTGGCCACAGTGCATTTCTGAGGTTCAGTAAGAGGCTCGTTCTTCCCACAACCATCCTTGTGAGAAATTCTGCAATAGGATATTCTTTTGAGAACCACTATTTTTTTTTTGTGTATGTGTGTATATGGATATGGGGGATTGTACTTCTTGGAGTACACAGTGCTTTCTCCCCACTTCAGTCTGCTTGACTAACCACTTTTGTTGGCAAGCATTGGTGGGCCAGCCACCTTGGACTCTTTTAATTTTTCTTCTTTCAGAGGAGGGATTCCTTGATTACCAAGGTGAGGGTGATACTTTCCAAACATCCTTGCTGTTTTAATGTGAAATATTCTTCCTTGTGCTCCTATGGTCAGCAATAAGATCTGTGGATTAACCTCTGGATTGCTACATATTTAGAAATTCTTATCATTCCCTTCACAGCCCTGAAAAAATAGCAGTGAAATGCCTACTTCTCTAAAAACATACAAGAATCCAGCTAAAATAAAAAGTATACAGAAAAGATGAGGTCAAAATCATGGTACCAGTGGCACCAATGGGTCAGTCCGTGAGCAAAATGGTCAGGATATTGGAAACAGCTGCCGTCCTCCTTTCAAAGAGTTTGTGTAGTGTTACAATACTAATCCTTTCCCATTGCTTGTGAAACAGAAGTGGTCCAATGGATCTCACTGGAGGCCCATCTGTTTCACTCTCCCTTTTTGTGGAAGAAGCAGAGTGCTGCAGAAGCTGCAGAAAAGATAAGAAAAGCTTCCCAGGAGCCTCTCCAACTGATGAGCTTCTTTTTCTAAAATGGCTTTTTATTAAAATGACTCTTGATGCTTCTTATTATCCAACCTCTTTTCTTACCTTCTTAGCCCCAACAATTTCCTTTGATGGGAGAGTTTCACAGGTTACACATATGTTATATGCAAGACTAGTTCTTTTAATCTCTTGGAATCTCCCACTTGTTCGTTTCAGGGAACATCCTTCTTGTTACAAGAAATGAGGAAAAAAGGTTTCTGCTAAATCTTCTTGTCGTTATTCATTGTTTTAAAGGATTGACTTAAAGCCCTTCTTATACATTGATGTGTCTGCCCAAGGTTTGGCAGAGCCTGTATTAAAGCAATTAATAATAACAAACAAAAAAACAATTCACCCCAGAATACTGATCCCAAAAGAGTTGGTTTCCCCTGATAGCTAAGAGAACAGCCTTTAGTATAGGTTTTACTTAAGGTTGCTATTAATTATACAGGTTCATAGTCACATGACACTCTCTTAGGTGTAATGTGGGGCCTGTGTGCATGTAATTTTCTAGAAATTGTAGGATAAAGTCATATGATGTTTGACAAGCATGTCCACTTTCATGGGAGGGAACTCTTAAAACAAGGACATATGTAAGCAGTGTGAGTTCTGATAGTTACTCTAATGTGAAGGAAAGGCACACTTCAGTTCTGATTGGTCTTTGTGAGAGTTCCCGTATTTCTCATATACGAGCAAAGAACACACCGAAAACTGAAGTAACTGAAAACAAGTAATGAAGTGACTTCTAATATGCCAACAAAATATTATGGTATCACTGTTTAGTATGGAGGGTACAACGTTTTGAAACTGCATTCAAACGCTGAGTTCTGGGTGTTATGATTGCTGAATGTGAATTCCACTGTATGTTGCTAGGAGGCCTAAATAAGTTTTGATAAAACACTTATTTGAGAAATGGAATACTCTTGAAAATTCAGAAACTGTTGGAAATTTTTAAAATGCTCTTCCTTTAGATGAACAAGGTGTTAATCTAAAATGGTGTTATTTGAGACCAGAGTAGTAGCCACTGTTACTTGAATGGGGTGTAATGCTAAGAATAATTTTGAAATAGTTTTTAGTTTAAAGACTTTAAACACTAAGCAGATCACAAAGTTCTAGATTCTTAGGAAGTCTTTGTCCTTTCTTTTGGTAGGGAGAATCTGGATTCATAGGATATCCTGGTCCAGAGGTATGATTAAATGGGCATGTTTGCTTTCTTTATATCTTGTTTTACATTATTCTTGTTTGGAAGTGGTTATCTGTCTTTCTGTCTGTCTTCTCCTTTCCTGTAAAGTCCTGGATTTCATTAATTTTCAGGGAGAAGATGGAGACCCGGGAATTCCAGGAGCTGAAGGACCCAAAGGAGTTAGGGGTAGAAGAGTAAGGATGATAAATCTGTTAACTCTGTGAACAGTTCTATAAGTAAAGCCCTTATGTCTTAAGTGTTTCCAGACCAAAAATTTTTGAAATTGGTTCTCACTCTGATCTTTTATTGCCATATCTGGGGGAAGAGGTCTTGAGAGAATGCAGGTCTAAGTCTTTAGAGACATTAGTTGCTAATAATTCTGAGGGATAGTAGTCATCTTTATATAAATGCAGGATCCAACTCACAATATAGTTATAGAGATTTTTCTCTGCTGAAATTCTGCACCTGTGTGTGCAATTATGAAGAATAAAACTTGTATTTCTATTTTTAGGGTAATGCTGGCACACCAGGTTCCCTGGGAGATCCAGGGGACCAAGGGCCATCAGGACCTATGGTAATCTATTTTTATTTTACAAACTCATTCAGTTTTCTCTTAAGCTTACTGTTAGATTAATGGAATATTTAACAATGTTTCATCTGGTAAACTATGCGTAATCAGCCTGGCAGTTGTATAGAGTTACGTCTTGCCTGTGGATGTGTATGCACAAGAGCACCTGCTGTTGGAAATGGAACTGCAACGATACAATGCAGGGCAGAATTTCTTCCACAGTATTTAGTATTGTCTTTAGGCTGGGTAAATATCTAATTAAAAAAGAAGAGAGTACTAAAATGTAGAACTGGATTGTTCTGCTGAAAGCCAATGCATTTTTTCATTTAAAAAGAAAAACCGTTTAAAATCAGACTTGCAATTACAGGCACTTACTTAAAGCTTAAATTGACCTATTAATCCTTATATACAAGTAGATGTCTTGATGTACTTTTCCAGTGTCTGTGATCTGCATTTTATACAGCAAAAAGTTTTATTCTCTATATAAGCAGGGGAAAGGATCGTGGATTTCAGTAGGATTTAGGACTAACATTGTAGGCAGTTAGGAAAATCCCTGTATGTGTCTACCTTTATCTTGCAGCAGTTCTGTAAATCAGCTCCATGGTGACCAAAAACAATCCCTACTGTTAATTATTTTCTTGTTAAACTTTCTTAAGCTTATTCTTTTAATTTAAATACAGAACATTATTGATAACAGTACCTTTATCTGTATAACATGGCCCAAGGGATACATGCAACTTAGAAAACAATTATTTTTTTTTTTGTCATTACACTGTGCTGGTCAATGAATGTGCTTGGCCCACTTTATTTTGTGATGCTGGGCACAAGAATGGCCAAGAGTGCCAGCTGGAATGCATTGCCCTCCCTACTACTTAGCTGCTCACATAACGTTACAGACAAACAGACTTTGTGTGCTGATGAGCCAGATAGCTGTTGGCCTTGCCAATCCAGGGTCCAAGAAGTCTTCAGAGATTTCAAGCTCAAGATCTCCTCTTTAGATGTAGAAATGAGAGTGGAGCTTGGGAGGTATGGGCTTGGTGGGATTATTGTAGTAGCAGTGCATCAGTGAAATGGGAAGGTGGGAATTCTGTGGGAAGTGGAAGAGATAGGGATGCAGGAAGGGGTACAGCTAGTAGGCAGGGCCAGCCAAAACAGGCCTGTTTTACCCATCCTTCCTAACTTGGGGGCATGATTATCTGTATGGGTTGAGTCTGCACAGCTCAGTGACCACTAATAAGCTATTGCAATTAGCATTCATTAGGGCTCAGGCAATTCACAGTTAACTCTTGCTGAACAGTACCAAAGAAGAACTGGGACCTACTGGGAAACATAAGAAGAAAAAAGCACGGAGTGGCTGTGATGGTGAGAGCAGCAAGACAGCAGAGGAGATGGGGAAGGTAGCTCAGGCAGGAGATGGAGGAATGGAAGTTTAATTGGAGGGGGAAGCAACAAATATGGAGATGGGGTTGTAATTTGGGGATGTAAGGAAGTATATGATTTTGGTAAACTGTAGTTTTATGGTGGAGAGAGGCTATGGTAAAGGTTGTGGGATGAGTTCAAATTTTTCTGGTGTATCTCACTGCAGCCCCCTGCGAGTAAGTGAAAATTTTCAGTAGTCTTGCTACACATCTGAATTGCACACATGATGAAAACTTTCAAGCTGTCTTGGAAAAAAGTTATTTTCCTTGTATTTTATTCCTGTTATGAAGATTAAACAATACTTTTATTTTGAAAAAAGATGCTTGGAATCCTGGCATTTGCCCACAGCTCCCAAGGAGAAGGCGGCAGAGCAGCCAAAGCTAGCTAGCCTGGTTGAGAAGTCATGACGTGTGTATGGTTTTGCAGGAATCTCTTGAGGTAGAACTGTGGCTATTGTACCCTGCAAGAGGAGGGGGCAAGCATATCACACATCAGAGGTTGAAAAGGATGTAAGGTGCAGATAACTGAACCACAGCACAGAAAGTGCTGTTTAGAAAGGAAATCCAATGCTGAAGTATACTGGTCCTTAAGGGCAACAAGTATTGAACATTTATAAAAACAGGAAGGAAAATGGACTGAGAAATAGGTCTGAGAAGTAGTCTGCAACTGTGTTAGGAACAGGTCCACAGATATCTGTGCTGGGAACTGATGTCTCCTCATATTTCAAATTCACAAATGGTTATCAGGGAAACACTGTATGCCTGCATTTTCTTTGGGCTACAGAGTCATAGACAGAAATACCTTATCGGGGTCTGATTTTCTGGACCTGTGTTTAATTTATTTCAGGGTGCCAAGGGACCAATGGGCACCATTTTAATGGAAGTAAGTAATTACCTTACAGCTAACTGCACACTGCATGGAACTAACAGTTTTAGTCTTCTTCCATTTATAAGCACTGACTGCAATGAGCACAATTAGCTGTTAGAAAACCATATCCTTTTCACATACTTGTCAGAGTGCAGTGGGTTCTTCTGACGGTGCAAATAATCAAGGACTGAGAAACAATTATGCATATGGATTAACACCATGTCCAAACTTTGACTAACTGTTGGACCATTAATTCCTTTATCTGTTTCTTCATTCACATCAGTTTACACACCAGCTCAGGTTTAGGGTTACTTTTCACCCTCTTGTAAAGGAAGGCATTTCCTCAGCAACAGCTATTTTCACTGGGAATAGCAGGGCAGGATTTCTTCAGAATCCTGATCCCATGTAACATGAACACTTCTGAGTAAAGGCTCCATCTAATTCTTGCATGGACAACTACCTGCAGGCAACACTATTGCAGGTGTGTTCTATGTCCAAAGCGAGTTCTTTCCTCCTTCGTGGACCTCTCTCTTCCTATGTGAGTTGCTATTGAAATGCCCATTCTTCTATGGAAGTGCCATTGCCTGGTGACCTCCTAGATCAGATTATTACACAAAATAAAGAAAGGATAAATGGTTACTTAATACTCCAGAGCATGATTAAATGCCGACAGGGCATGTCTAAAAAACCCCTTAGTTTCTGCAGCAGGGGCAGAGCCCCTGTATTATTTGAAATAGAGAGGAACTGGAATGTGTGATTCTGGATTTACTGTAGTGAGAGTTAGTTCAGGAGCTGGGATATGACCTTCAGCTCAAACCAATAGTAAGATTCCCAGTCTGGGATGGTCTGGGATTTGCCATTAATTGCTTTTTTGTTTTGCTCCTGCAGCCTTGTGAACTTGTGAATTTTACACGAAAAAACTGCCGTAAGTAGGGAGCGTCTTCTTTTACCTCTGATTCCACCTAGTCACTCTTGTTAAATGGAATAGACTCCACTGGAAACCCTGTAGACTGGTAGTTTGAATCTGGGTTCAATCTGATGTCTGGTAGTTGTTAACTGTGAGGGGTTTTCAGGAGGTGTATGAAACAGGCTTATGCTTTTTGCTCATTTTTCCTCTCTCTTAATTACAAAAACTGTAATAAATGTCTCTTGTCCTCATTTAAGATTAAATTAATTCTGTGACATTGTGCCAACCTCCTTTGGGGAATTCTCTGAGAGAAGACAATATTTGTATATCACCTGTCCTCTGGATTTGGAGTGTTCATTCTCTCTCAGACCTGTGTGCTCAGCAGAACCCAGAACAATTTCTTTAATTCTCATCCAGTAAAATTGCAGTATTTTGAATCTTTGATTGTGGAAGAGGAGTGTTGTCTCTCACTGACAGATTCTGTCAGTTGTCTGAACTTTGGATCAGGCTCTTTAGTGAAGGCAAGCGAATATGTCACTATTTTAATGAATATGAGTCCAAAATAAATTATTTGCTCTCTACCTCTTCATTCCAGCTTGCTCATCAGGTAAGCCCATCTGGCATCTGCATGTCCATTCTTTCATAGACTTGAAGAAAAAACTAACAATGTTTGAGTTGTGGAAAGGTTCTCACACAAATTTTTTATTTCAACATACAGACACATGTCCAGTTTATCCAACTGAAGTGGTGTTTGCCTTCGATATGTCTGAAGATGTTATGTCAGCTGCATTTGAAAGAATGAGGAACATTGTTATGTTATTGCTCAAGACCATTAAGATCAGTGAAAGCAATTGCCCAACAGGCGCTCGTGTCTCCGTTGTTTCTTTCAATACCAATATGCGCTATCTCATCCGATTCTCAGAATTCCAAAAAAGCAACTTGCTGCTAGAAGCAGTCCAGAGAATACCACTAGAGAGATCCACTGGAAAACGTAATATTGGGACAGCCATGAGATTTGTTGCAAGAAATGTCTTCAAACGTGTTCGTCAGGGCATCCTCACAAGAAAAGTTGCCCTATTTTTTGCCAATGGTCCATCGCAGGATGATGTTTCCATCAGCACAGCTGTACTTGAGTTGAGTGCCTTGGATATCACTCCAGTGGTTATTGCCTTCAGTGAAGTGCCAAATGTCAGACGTGCCTTCTCAGTAAGTAGGTAGACTATAGGAAATTGAGTCAGTCATCCATTTGCTTATTATCGACTAGTATTTGAGTAAAGTGTGCTCTCAAGCCAGTACGTTCTACAGGAGCTGTCCAATGCCTGATTAGAAAGGGGTATATTAAAGGTTACTATTTTAACAAAGAAACGCTGATTCACTTGACCATAATGATCACCATTTGACCTCTTTCTGCACATGAATTATTTATGACTTGTGCTTTTAGGCCAAATCACAGAATTTCAATAACATTGTGTTAATTTCACTCTGCCATTTCTCTTCTGCAGTTGTGACATGTACTAACCATTTAATTAATAAACTGTGGCCCTAGAAAAAGTAGTAGTAGAAGGCTTCAAGTACTCCAAGTTTTTTTTCCAAAAGAAAATTAAATTAAGCAAAACCTCTTTTGATAGCTGTATTGCCATTAGTACAGGAGAAAATTAACAACTTTTGTTTTAAAATACGACTTCATATAAAAAGATAGTAAGCAAAAATAAGCAATCCATTTTACCAGCTACCAAAGGAAAACAATTCTAAGTTTCTTTAAGGTTTCATAATATGGATTCCATGTTCTGTCTCTTTTCAATTTATTTTTGTATCATCTGTGCTCAGTTTTAACTTTTTTGAAATAAAATTCCTTCCAGCTGCTGTTTCTTCAAAATTATCCTTAAAGAAAGAAACTGTGTTTACTTACATGTGACAAAAAGTGCAAAACTTAAATCTAAGTTCTGATCTAGTAACATCTAAGTCAGCCCTTTAATCTTCGTATTACATTTATTCTCGTGCAGCCTCATATCTGTTAGTCAATTCACGTATTTGTCTGGCTGAATGTTAATTTCGCATCATGAAAACATTCTGCTGGCATATGAGAAGGAAGCTTATAGTTTATTCACTGGGTTGCTCCACAGGATAAACAGGAGCAAGCATCAGTATTTTGTTTACTTAGCATAAGCAGATAATGAATCCAAATGCGTATGATGACACCTGGTATTTACAAAGGTGCCAACTTTCCATAAATCAGTTTTCAGGGTAGGAAAGTTTAAAAAAGCTCCTTAGCAGGGGGAAAGGTAAAAGATTCACTGCCCAGCTCTCCTTTATGGTTACAGTGATGGGAAGGCAACCAACCTCACCACCACCACCCAAGAAAATACAACCTCACTTTTTATTTCAGGTGGACTTCTGCCCTTGCAGATGAGAGGTGGCTTAATCTTCATGATCCTACCAGCCTGTAGCCACAGATACTTACTGGCTTTGGTTAGTTTGCTTTAGAAGCCTTAGTTTGGAGATCACTTAGTGAGTGATGCAATGTGAGTGAATAGGCAATGATGGAGTCATTGCCCATTCTAATTCCTTTGAAGAGGCCTATCTATAACATCCTTTACAGACATTAATCAGAAGTTGTGTTGTATATGCGTTGTGTGTAACACACACAAAGCTTAAGTTTAATGCAAAGAAGTAATTATTTCTTTCATCGCCATTTTAGCTTATCCATATATATATTAATTCATTTCCTGCAATATTATGATATTATACAGCCATTTTTATTTATCTTAGTCCACAAGGAAATGTTTTTTCCCTTGAATCATATTTGGATGAGGTTGGGTGGTCAGTGAAATTGTAGGATGTTGTTGGAGTTTATTCAGGGTTCCTCAAGCATTTCTGTGGTCAAATCTTCTACTGGGGAAGATTGTCTTTCTTCAGCTGATCACAGGCAACACATAGGTTGTTCTAATGCTAGAATTTTCTAATGCTAGAATTTTCTCTCCCAAGAAAACATCTTCACTGTGAAGGATTTCTCTTTGTCCCAGAAAGAGCTGAGATAGGAGATCCTGCGCTTTTCTCTGTAGCACCCTACTAAGAAAAGAAAAAAAGTGATAGCCCTTCACTGGCAAAAAAAAAAAAAAAAGTCTTAATACCTTTTACTTGTGCTGAGATTTCCATTCATACCTATAAAGCTGTCTTCCCATTTTTTTAAAAGAAAGTATTTTTCAGGCCAGACCATAGTGCTCTGCATTGTCAAGGGGAGAATATGGTGACCTTACAGAAAAGCTCTTGATATATGAATTTAAACCATGAGGGTTTTCTTTCATTTGCATTCAATTGCCATCCCACAATGACTCATTTTTCCCCTCATTTGTATTACAGTAGCACACAGCCACCCCAATCAAGACCTGAGTAGCCATATTGCATACAAACAGAGAATGGAAGTTGAGTCCCTCCCTGATCTAGGAAGAGCAGAAAGACGACATATAAAGTGAATGTGAACAGAGGACCTAAATTCAACACCATGCAGAAATATCTGAGCTAGCTTTGAATAATCTATCATGACTGTCTTAATGCATTACTCCTAGCTAATAAGCTGTGCTAACAGCAATTAATTGTCATTAGCAGCTATACTAACTTGGCAATCTCTGTATAGCACAGCATGGAGTTAAACCTTTAGGCACAAAGTGGTTTCCCTGTAATGCTCCAGGGCAATCAGAATGCTCCAGAATGGCAACTGAAAAAGTCTTCTGTGTAGCTGTTCAATATTACAATAGCAGTGAAATCACCAGTTTAGGGTTATTATCTATTTCAACAGAGAAATAGTAATGACATTGAGTATTAAGAACAAAGAGAAAACATCTGTATTTTGTGTATATCTTTTTAATGTTACTTTTGTGTCTGCTTTAAAACATAGATTGATGATACTAGAAGATTTCAATTATTTGTTTGGGAAAGACAACAGGATGAAAGTTTGGAGAGCATCACATATTGTACACTTTGCTTCGGTAAGACATTTTACAAATTCCAGCTGTTGTATCGGTCTTTTCACCCTTTCTGTAACAAATCCTATAGATTTTATTTTGCAATGTGGTGTTGGGGAATTTTTATGATACCCCTTAAGCACGTTTGTGCTTAAATATAAAAAAAAAATATTAATGAACAATGTATTGGGCATAGTCCTACTGCCATAAGTGGTTCTACAAGGAGTCTCAAAGATGCATTAAGACCTGATTCCTTACATACGCTTGCACCAGCACCAATCCCATGAGTGGTTGCATGGGGCGCCTCAGCCCAGCTCTGCTGCCCAAAGGTGGTCCCTGAGTGCCTGAATTCCAGGATGGCTACAAGACAATGGTGTGGCTGTTTCTTATCATCACCAAGGGAAACTTCACTACCTTACAGGGAGTTGTTCTG